CAAAAAATTCTGGATATATATTTTTTTTAATTCCTATTTTTTTTTTGCCTTTCAGCGCCATATGAAGGTGGAGTATGGAAAGTTCGAGTCGACCTTCCTGACAAATACCCCTTCAAATCCCCATCTATAGGTAAAAAAATCTTAATTTTTTTTTCCAAAATTCTGCTGTTTATGCCCAAAATTTACAGGTGAAGTTGTGCCAGTGAAATGTGAGAATTTGAAATCTCCAAAACGTTTTTATCGGGTTTTTATCAGATCCCAAGCAAAGAGGAATTTTGGGATTTTTAAATAATTAATCCATGCGTGGTGGAATAAAAATCCATATTTCATGGTCTTGGGATGAACCCAATTTTTGGGATTTTCTGTCCAAAACTGAATGGTGATGGTGGAGAAAAAATCCACAATTTATGGTCTTGGGATGAACCCAATATTGGGGATTTTCTGTCCAAAATGAATGGTGATGGTGGAACAAAATCCATAATTAATTGTCTTGGGGTGAGGCAAATTTTTGGGGTTTTCTGCCCAAAAAGTGAATGGTGGTGATGGAATAAAACCTACAGTTCATGGTCTTGGGGTGAGCCCAGTTTTTGGGATTTTCTGCCCAAAAGTGGATGGTGGTGGAGCAAAAATTCACAGTTCATTGTCTTGGGATGAACCCAAAATTGGGGATTTTCTGCCCAAAAGTGAATGGTGATAGTGGAGCAAAAATCCACAATTTATGGTCTTGGGGAGAACCCGATTTTTAGGATTTTCTGCCCAGAAGTGAATGGTGATGGAACAAAAATTCACAGTTCATGGTCTTGGGATGAACCCAATTTTGGGGATTTTCTGTCCAAAATTGAATGGTGATGGTGGAACAAAAACCATAATTAATTGTCTTGGGGTGAGCCCAGTTTTTGGGGTTTTCTGCCCAAAACTGAATGGTGATGGTGGAAAAAAACCCCTCAGTTCATGGTCTTGGGATGAACCCAATTTTTGGGATTTTCTTCCCAAAAGTGAATGGTGATGGTGCAGCCAAAAATTCACAGTTCATGGTCTTTGGCTGAGCCAAATTTTTAGGGTTTTCTGCCCAAAAAGTGAATGGAGATAGTGGAGCAAAAATTCGGAGTTCATGGTCTTGGGATGACCCAAATTTTTGGGATTTTCTGCCCAAAAGTGAATGGTGATGGAGCAAAAATTCACAGTTCATTGTCTTGGGATAAACCAAATTTTTGGGTGTTTTCAGTACAAAAGGGAGTGGTGGTAGTGGAGCAAAAATTCCCAGTTCATTGTCTTGGGGTGAGCCAAATTTTTGGGATTTTCTGCCCAAAAAGTGAATGGTGATGGAACAGAAATCCACAATTTATGGTCTTGGGGAGAGCCCAATTTTTTTGGGTTTTCAGCCCAAAACTGAATGGAGATAGTGGAGCAAAAATTCGGAGTTCATGGTCTTGGGATGACCCAAATTTTTGGGGTTTTCTGCCCAAAAGTGGATGGTGATGGTGGAACAAAATCCATAATTAATTGTCTTGGGGTGAGGCAAATTTTTGGGGTTTTGTGCCCAAAAATGAATGGTGATGGTGGAGCAAAAATTCACAGTTCATGGTCTTTGGCTGAGCCAAATTTTTGGGGTTTTCTGCCCAAAACTGAATGGTGATGGTGGAAAAAAACCCCACAGTTCATGGTCTTGGGGTGAACCCAATTTTTGGGGTTTTCTGCCCAAAAATGAATGGTGATGAAGCAAAAATGCACAGTTCATGGTCTTGGGGAGAACCAAACTTTTGGGATTTTCTGCCCAGAAGTGAATGGTGATGGAACAAAAACTCACAGTTCATGGTCTTGGGATGAACCAAATTTTTGGGATTTTCTGCCCAAAAATGAAATCCCTGAGTAGTTTTGGCCCTTCTGATGCTGTTTTTGCTGCCTTTTTTTTTTTCATTTTTAATTGTAG